TACATGTTGTATATGTATATGTCATCCATTTTTACTTCCCTTGATTTTTGCACATATGACACATGTATACATGAGTAACTTTCATAGATCATAAAATATAAAGCCGAAATATTATCATAAGTAGAAGGCATGAAAATATTGCAACTCAGTTTGCACATATAAGTGAAGCTCTTATTCCTATCAAAAGATTGACAATATTCATCATTAAACCATCCCAACATTGGTGAATAAACCTTACTTGCATCAAATTTGCATGCTACAACATACTTAAATAAGCAAACATGCAGTAAGTAATTGGACACAGAATCATCACCAAGATTAGAGGTCATAACAAAATGATTAAACACTGGTTCTTTTGCATCAATAGTTAATTCAATGGGTGCACTCAAAATTGTTGGTATTTCAGTTGTTTGATCACATGGCGAAGTCAAATTATCAACATAGTCCTCTAAAATAGGTGGTGTGATCAAAGTAGTGGGTAGCTCAACACATGATGTATTCAAGTTAACTAGGCATGCATCATTCTCATGTGAAAGTGGAAAATCTGTACCTTTGTCATTACCTCTTATGATCAACTCAGATGATGCAGGCACTCTCGATGGTGATGTGTCACATGGTGGAGATGACGTAGTCCCCGCAACAACGGATGTGGTTGTCATAGTACGCCTAGTAGTTGAATAAACATCTGTATCAACAGTTGGAATGTGCACGGTGCACTTGTTCTCCTTGTGGGCAACACGTCGTTTTATTTCCTGTTCAGCTTTGCAAGCAAGACGAAACAAATGGTCCATAGGATAACACTCTTCATGAATTAGTATCGCCTGAATATCATGGTTTAATCCTCCCCAAAATCTATCCATAAAATCTTCTTCACTTTCTTCTAAAAATGAGTGCAACAAGGTAGTTTGTAAATCATCATAATATTTTGTTACGGTGTCACTACCTTGTTTTAAATGTTCTAGTTTTTTAATCATGCCACGAGTATAATAAACATCGACGAATCTATCTCTCATGACATGTTTTAAATCATCCCAAGTATTAGATACATAATCAGGGTGTAACCGACAATATTCACTCCACCAAACAATAGCAAAACCAGTGAATGTACCAACCGTGAGCTTAACTTTTTTATGCTCAGAAAAATTATGCGAAGCGAATATAGCATTTATTTCGAACTCCCATTCAATGTATAAATCAGGCTTAAATCGAACATTAAAAGGTGGAATGGAAACAAGAACCTGATTGTGTGCATTCTGATGACTTTGTATCTCTTGTGATGGATGTTGTATTTTCTTAGGTGGTAGCAAATCTCCCACGATCGATGAAGCCCAAGAACTAACAACTCCGGAACCTGCCATAGTTAGTAGAAAACAAGAAACAAAATCCGAGAATAATGTTCCTATGAACTACTAGGATGTGGTGGTAAAACGCTCACAGTATAGCAAATATCAATATCTTACAAGTTCTTACGATGCGGCAGGTGGTGACAGGCAACCAGTAGTGTCAAATAACTGTGAAGATTGTGTAAAACGATTGCCAGGGGAACGTACGTATACACGATGTAGAAATATGTGGAGCTGGGTTGGCTATATATGGTAGTAAAAGATTAGCAATAATCAATTTAAAAATGCAATGTTGAATAAACGCTCAACGATGGTACTGTGCTGGTCCTAGACTCGACCGGACTAGAGACGCGAGCCTAGAACACTAATGAGGTCACGGCATAGCACAACTAGCATCAATGAAGGATAAGTAGCTCTGGACAGCAAGATATAAGTGAAGATCACAACGGCAGTAAAGATAATGATGAATAACAACTGCCAAGCAGGATATATAACAACTCTCTCTCCAACTTTCCTCTTAAAAAGTTTGCTACTAACTCAAGCTTTCCAATGTAAAAAGAATCACTCAATTCCGAATTGATATGAGGAGCCAAAACGGACTTCGTATGAGGAAGTTATGCCTTTTTTACTGAACAGTGTGCAAAACAGATTTCAATCCTAATTCAAGTACGAGATTGATTCTAGATAGATCCGAAATTTCTTTTTTTTTCTTCTCTTTTTTTCTCTGACTTTTTTCTTTTTCTTTTTCTTTCTCTCCTTTTTTTTCCTCTGACTTTTTTTCTCTCTGCCTTTTTTTTCTCTCTTTTTCCCCTCTTTCAGAGACAAACTAGATAAGATGCAGATTGGATCAAGTGAAGATGTGAACGACCTCAACTATGATTGTGACAATGAACTATGGGTAGCATGTGGTGGAAATTGATGGATGGTGTGGTGGACAGCGGAAGGGATAACGATGCAGCGGCGGCATGACTAATGTCAACAGAACTCGAAACTCTAAAGGAACTAGACACCAAGACCAGCAACTCGACACGGCGATGCAACCGATAATTCAATAATGCAAACAATGAAAAGAAATTTGCAAAGGCTCAGACTGGCTTGGACAAAGGATGAATAGATCTAACTTTTTTTTGTGGCTTTTTCTTGGACAATAGGTAAGAAAATAGATCTAATCTAGGGAAAACTAGAAATTCTCACCGAGCAACCCTGAAAACTGATACCACTTGATAGAGGCGGGGTGTCCCGATCTTTCGATGAGATGATAACTATCGATTTGGTGAAGATGACTTTGACGATCCGACTACAAACGTGCACGACGTTGCGTCTTAGCAATCGCTAAACCAACTCCGAGAGGTTATTGATCACGCCGGAGCACAATCAACCTGACCATGAAGGTCTATTCCTGCAAGCAATCGAAGAACAAGAAAGAATATGATAAAGCAATCTGAATATTGCGAATATAGATGAAGTATTGATAAAGGTGGGGATCCGTAAGCGGTCTTGGTCTGGTCGTTGGACACAAACGAAGTACACGAAGTTGCAATGGCTAACTTTTAACTAAACAAATCCCAAGGAAAAAGCTACTAGATGGATCTACTTATATAGGAGGAAGGAGTGACGGCCAAGGAGGTGGGTGAACTTCCCAAGGCATCCTAAAACCAACCCTAGGTCGTACAAGGCTCATGGGCCCAAGTGAAGGTGATGCAACACCTTTGGACTTGTTGTTCGACTCGGATTCTGCTTTAGCGTCTGATTGTTTCGTCGATATCTCAATGCTCCGGACGAATTTGAAGGTGAATCCAATTGGGCTGGAAAGAGCACAAAATCTAGATTCCAACAAAAAAAGAATCACCCAATTCGGAGTCCGTATGAAAAAGTTGTTGGCATTTTGAGTCAGGTATGTCTGTGCAGTCCGAATCTGAATCCAGAACGTGAGAGACTTGGACTCTATCTTCTCTTGGCCCAAAAGTGACGTGCGAGAACTTTTTGAACAGCAAGTAAACATCTCTTTCTCCCTTATCTTCATATGTGGATTGTACAAATGTCCCAAACACCTGCAATTAGACAAAACACAAAAGTGTGTGAAGTATTTTTTTCTAGATAACATAAATAGATTACTGAATAGTTTGCACTAGAAATCACCTGACAAATATGCATGTATACAATATTTTTGGTCGTATCCAAGGTAGTCATGTCCTCATCAACAGCTCCGCCAAGAAGGGGACCAGCGCAAGGAGGCTCTCCCGCACCAGAGGGCTACGGCAAGATTAAGGTGGATGGAGTAACGGCGAGAGGATCCGTGGATGGATCCTACAGCACAATTTACAGAGATTCGACATGGATGTTCATGGGTGCGTCAGCAATAAAGAATGTTGGCATCTCGGATCCGGCGACCTTGGAAGCGTTGGCATGCAGGGAAGCACTAGCGCTGGCCCAAGATCTCGGTCTTCAACAGATGACTATAGCCTCTGATTGCAAAGAAGTTGTTGACAACATCAACAAGGAGATGGGAGGTCTTTATGCAGGAATAGTAAAAGAGATTACCGCAACTTCTCGACAGTTGCAAGCTTGTTCCTTCATTTTTTTAAGGACGTAGTACGAACAATGAGGCTCATAGCCTTGCTAAACATGCTTTAGGACTTCAGGTTGGACGCTATTTGTGGCTTCTAGATCCTCCAGACCTAAATTGTATCCCAATGTATTTGGATTTTGATTAATAAAGCAAGTATGTTTAGACTAAAAAAACCTGACCATTCGCGCGTGAAAATTGCTTCAGTTTCTGTTTTGATCGTGCAGTTTTTCGAATGCAGAGACACATAAATCAGAAATAGCTGATCACATATGGCTTTGGGCTTTGGAGGACTTTGCCAATTTTCCTATTCACTTTAGCGCTTCTATTTCTTCTCCTATAGCACGAACTGGCGCGATATGCCGATATCGCTGGTTCAGAATCTTGGTTTTGCTCTCTACTTGGATCTTCCATGATACCTGCTGGTGATAGCATGCACTACAAGTACGATTTTCAAATCTCAAGGGCTCATACCGATTTATTAGAGCGTGTAGTGTGCAGATCCGGCACCTGTTGGCCTTGCTGTCGGTCTGCAGATTGCGTTTTTCGGACGATCTTGTCTTGCAGCAAAAGATGTGTGCATGTTACGAGTCAAGACTGAAGACTGAATACTGTCGTGTGGCTCATACCAAGGAAAACAGAAGCTGTGTGCAGCTGGCTGACAGCCCGAGACGAAACAAATCAATACTATGCGGATGGGGAAAATGCCAATCGCAACTAGAGTAGTTGAGTTGCTGCGTCTTTTTCGCCACACGACCATGAACTCATGATATGGTTGCCCGGCGAGGGCTTCCGAGATGGCCTCAAACTCCTAATTCATATGCTTAATCAAACTTAATTAATTGGCACTTAAGCAAATCCGATTTCCTCACGTATCACATCACATACGCATCCACATCCACGGTTTGGATTGGAATCCACTCACGTATCGGCATCACACCTGACCTGAGCTCATCAATAAAAGGGAAGGCAGCCAACCTGCCGCCTTTGCCTTCACCTCGCTCTCACCTTGAGCCGAGACTTCTCTTCTCCACCTTCCAATCGTCTCCTTCACCAATCACCCAGCGACCGGCGTCCCCTGTTCCCTTCCCATGGAGATTGCCTACCCCTACGGCGGGGAGTTCACGAGGAAGCACGGCTTCGTGACAGGCCGGCCGTTTGACGCCAAGACCGGCATCATGTCCGGCCAGAAGCGCGCGAGGGAGATGGAGATCCTTCGGCAGCGCTTCCAATCCGAGCTCGTCGCCGTCCGTCGCCTCCTCCATAAGGCGGCCGCCGTGCTAGTTCCCGCCTCGTCCCCGTTGGCTCCCCGCGTCAACGAGAGTTGTCCAGGGTTCTTGGCCGAGGAGCCGCCGGCCAAGAAGAGGAAGGCGTCCCCTCCCGTTCCTGTGATCAATCGCAAGAAGGCGCCAACGAAGAAGAAGATGACGGCCTCTGAGAGGGAGATGCTCGCGGAAGACCTGGAGCTGTTCGTTGCGGAAATCCCCGATCACATCGTCCAGCTCTTGAAGAAGCAGAGCTGCGCCACCCGCCCCGGCGAAATCGAGATCGACCTCCACGCGTTGGACGCCGCCGCCGTCGTCGAGTTGCAAGGGCAGGTTGACAAGTTCGCTCGTGATCGTCAGAGGAGGTCGAATCCGTCGCCGCAAGAACGGCACCAAGACGGCCCTAGGGTGATGGCCCAAGAGGAGGAGGATGACGAAGAAGTTGACATCTGTGGTGGCGTCTCCCCCTTAGCAATCGTGCCGCAACCTCTGCTGCAAGAACGGCACCAAGACGGCCCTAAGGCCATGGCCGAAGAGGAGGAGGAGGAAGATGTTGACATCTGCGGTGGCGTCTCCCCGTTACCGATCGTGCCGGCACCTCTGCTGCTCGTCGAAGATGAAACAGCCAGTGGCTGTGGCAGCCCAAGCTCCAGAAGCAGCAGTTCGGATACTGATTCCAGCGACAGCGATTCAGATACTGATTCCGGCAGCAGCGACTCGGGTTCAGAGCACTCCGGCGGCAGTGACTCAGATTCTGATTCAGACGAGATCGTCGACAGTGAGCAGCTCGCCCGTGCTCTGGAGAGGCAGCGAAAGGAGGTCACGTCCCGGGCGAGGGAGAAGGCCCGTCAGGAGGTGCTCCAGATGGAGAAGACGGCAATGCCCGATGATACCCTACACCCAGAGGATCTGAAGAGGCTCGGCATTGATGAGTACAACACGGCGAGGCCCAACAACTTGTTGCGGCAGATTGGACTCTACCTCAAGCTTGACGACCACGACTGGAAGCAGCAGCAGCACTGTCAAAGCTTCGAAGAAGACCTAGAGGAAGGGGAGATTCCATCGTGATCGTCGTTGCTAGCAAGGTGCTATAGCAAGTGATGCTGTTGTTGATAGCTTGATGCCTCACAGAAAGCTTGTAGTTGTAGCTCTCTTCTGCAAAATGTATGTCTGCTCAACATGATTCGATATATGAAAGTACGTGATCGATTAAACAGTATCATGTACATTTTTAAAATCCATGGACATTTTTTTTGTTTTCTCCGGTTTCATTTTCCAAAATACATGCATTTTTTATTTAAAACTCATGAACATTTAAAATAACTCATGGGTATTCTTTTTTAAAATTTAAGTCATTCTATTAAAATGGGTGAACATTTTTTAATGGAAAAACACAGAAAATACATTGAAAAAAAGTTGGCTACAAACAGTACTAGGTTTTTTGTAGAGAACTTCGCTGCATTTTATTGATCAATGATGTTCAAAGGAACTGTTACAAGATCATGTGGCGCAGCAACCCGGACATGACGTCCAAAATTAAAATCTAGAGAGTATTTACCTAAACATCAACTCTACCTCGACTGTTATAGGTGAAGTTGTATTTCTCGAAATTACACAAGCATTGATTGACTATCGCTTCATGATGCCCGCCTATTTTATCTGAGATTTCCTTCACAACTATGGCACAACCAAAGCTATTACGATCAGCATGACTAATAGATCAGCGGAAATGTCATGGCTCTTGGGTTGCCGGCACGCAAGGTCTTCTAGACTCCGTCCGTCAATTATGTCACTAAATGCAACTGCAGACGAGCCAAGATAGAGGTCGATTTGGGGCCTGTTCTGATTTCCTCCAACTCCAAACTTCACAACTTCTCAGCTTGGTTTCAGCCCGAACGCCTCAACTCCAAGAAGCTAAACTTCACGAAGCCATCTTGGGCTGCAGTGTAATTTTCTGAAGCTAGGGAAACGCAGCTCCATGTTTACAAGAATCTGGAGTTGGGACATATTTACGGCCATAATGCCACCGCCAAAGAAAACGGTTCGATCCCTTGCTCCTCCTCGCTCGTAAAAGGGTACCGCACGCACCGGCTCCTCCTCGTTCGCGCCAATATGGGCTGCTTTCAGCCGGCCCAAGGTGGCAAGAAACGGGCCAGAAGTCCCCTAGCTGGGCTGCCAGATCAAAATGACGCTGGGAGAAGCTACGATGCAGCCGAACGCTTTTGAGTCGCCACCTGAAGCAAGAAGTTACGCGAGAAGCTGGATCTAAGAAGTTTTAGAGAAGCTGGTCTCCGCAGCAGCTTCTTCCATCATTTTTTGATATTGTACCATCAACATTGAACTTCGCAAAACCAACCAGGCGGGATCCAAGGCAAACACTGGGTCCTGGACCTACTAGCCCGCGAGAGCTGTGTGTGGGAGACATATAAGATATAACCCCGCCTCGCGGTAGGCGAGAGCGAGGTGGGCCGGGCCCAATAGGGGGTTCTGAGAGCGGGTTTCACTGTGTTTCTTTTTCCCTTTGGTATGGTTTGTTTTTGGTCTTCTTTTTTCTTTTCTGTTTTCTATGGTATTTTACTTTTTCCCTTTTATTTTGTTTTCTTTGTTCTTTTGTCGGTTTTCTGCTTTTTGTTTCTCTTTCCGGTTTTGATTAGGTTTTTTTTTCATTTTACTTTTTAACACATGTCTACTTTTTTCACGTAGAATATAGATATTCTGTATATATTAAGGATATTTTTATACATGTTTAGCATTTATTATAAAATAAAGGATTAACAATTTTCTCAATATATATTTTTGATGACTACTTTTTTCATACACGTTGCTCAGGAATATTTTTTATACGCATTTAACCTTTCTTAAATACATACTTTTTTTTAAATATATGTTTTGATGTCTAATTTTTTTCCATGTACGCCTTAGATTTTCGTATACATCAGTAACACGCTTAACATTGTTTTTAATGCAGGATTACATTTTTCAATATGTGTTTTTAATGCATAATTTTTTTAATACACATTGTGCATTTGTCATATACATCAGGAATACTTTTATATACATGTTTAACTTTTTTTAATGTTTTCATACACATTGTTCTAAGGCGAGCCGAGGCAACAGTTGTTCGTCCCGAGCGCACGGAAGCTTACATGGGTGAACGGCCCACCGCGCGGCTGGTGTCCAAAGATTTAGTGGGCTGAGGCCTACTAGTAAATCTAACAGAAAGCAGAGCACCTGACCATGCGCGTGAAAATTTCTTCAGTTTCAGTTTCATCGTGCAGTTTTCTGAAACGCAGAGACACATGAAGTAGAAATAGCCGATCACATATAAGTATAACCATGGTCTTTGGAGGACATTGCCAACTTTCGTCTTCACTTTAGCGCTTCTGTTTCTTCTCCTGCAGCAAGGACTAGCGCGGTATCGCTGCTTCAGAATCTTGATTTTGCTCTCTAGGATCTTTCATTCATGATACCTGCTTTTGTGATAGCATATACTACTACCGCGATTTTCAAATCAAATCTCAAATGCTTACACCGATTTCGCAGAGTTTGTGCAGATCCGCCACCTCTTCACCTTGCTGTCGGTCAGCAGATTGTGCTTGTCGGACGAGAACTCGGCCTCTTGTGCCTGATCTTGCAGCAAAAGCTGTGTGCACGTTACCTACCACAAGACTGAAGACTGAACTCAGCTCTGTTATTGGTAGGAGTACTGATTAACCTGTACCGATTATCCACAAAAAAAACTCTGTATTAATTAATGAATCATACTACTCCTGGTTAACCTGTACCATAATATTTTTTTTTTGCGAAGTACTTAACCTGTAGTACCATATTAACAGTGTGGAGTACAAGGTTTCTCTTTCTAGTGTGTGGCAGGGTGTGGAGCTGTCTGACAGCCTGAGATGAAACAAACCAGTATACGCGGGTGGGGAAAATGTCAATCACAACAAAGAGTTGAGTTGTTGCGTGCGTCTCCTCGCCACATGGCATTGGCATGGCAATATGACCACGCCACACGGACACGGTGGTGTGATCAGATGATACGATATGACAAACGCAAGAATGGTCTGGTTTCATCCTCTGCAGCGGTGTGCGCTCCCTCTGTCAAAAGTATACACACCTGCGTTTTGCTTTGGTTTGTTCCGTTTGGCACAACAGTGGACCAAGTCCCCCTTGCCCGGTCATCTTACTCAGTTTCTACGGAGTATATAGCAACCATAAAACATGAAGGCTACGTTTGGCAGCGCAATATTTTTGGAGTTTTCAGATAATTCCATGGTTATAATTTATAAATACTTTTTTTTGAGGATTGGTTATAAATACTTTGATGTGATTGGTGTCAATAAAAAACTGAATTAATAAACCGTGGTTTTTCTGCAGTGCAGTATATGTGAATTACCGGATCAGTATGTAGATTGATTTTTGTACGAGATACCTGATCGATCGAGCCGATCAGGCATCAGCAAATTCTATGTTTTGAAAAATCAATCAGCACATATTATGGTGGTGTACGGCAAAGCTGTTGAAAGCCACGGTTTTTGAAAAATTATATTATTCATTGCCCGTACGTTGATATAACCAGGTTTTCAAATACTATGGGCTTTAAAAAACTTTGCTACCAAACTAATTTGAAGCTTTGCAAATAACGGGATCAATGTGATGTGTGTAAGGTTTGGACCTGTTGGTACGCTGCCTATGTTGTGAGCTTTATTAATTTAAAGTCGGGCGCTCCTAGCGTCTTCGTTCTAAAAAGGAAAAAAAATAATGGGATCAACTAAGGAGGCGCCGCCCTCATTTCTTCGTGCACCACAAGTACAATTCCATGAAATACGAAACAAATTGGACAGTTGTGTGATAATTTTGGCAGAATTAATGCTTGTCATATTTCCCAGCAGAAAATAATACTCCCTTCATACATAAATGTAAGATATTTTAATATGCACTACATATAGACTGAAATGAGTGAACAAATACACTAAAGTGTGTCTATATACATCAGAATAAAGTGTGTTTGAAAATAATACTTCCTTCGAAAATAATACTCCCTTCGTACATAAATGTAAGATATTTTAATATGGACTACATATAGACTGAAATGAGTGAACAAATACACTAAAGTGTGTCTATATACAAGAAAGAGGTACGTAGAACGGAAAATACACAGGAGCTCCCGGGTGCTCCACACCCCTATATGAATATTAAACATAAAAGATATCAAAAATATTCAAAAATATTCTGAAATTTGGGGATATCAAACCTGGTTTCTCAATCTACTCCCGTGTGAATTTCATGAAAAAAATACCAAAAAACGTATCCGTGACGAAGGAAATACTGTCCGAACAAAAATCCATCCAAACAGATTTTTTCTATACATAGGATTTTTTTGTCCTTTTTGCCACGAATACGTTTCCTGATATTTTTCACGAAAATTCACGCAGGAGTAGATTGGGAACCCAAGTTTGATATCCTAAAATCTCAGATTTTTTTTCAAATTTCTCGGTACCTCTTTAATTTAATGTTCATATAGGGGTGTGGAGCACCCAGGTGCTACAAATCCGCTTCCGACGTAGAACATCTTATATCTGTTTACGAAGGAAGTACTTGCCGTATTTGACAAATTTGTTGCGTATGCTAGTAATCATACACGTGCAATGCATGTTATGATATCACAAAAGATATTAACTTCATTGCGCATTAGTAGTATTAGGGAAAAGATGTTTGTGTGTTGATATTAGGTAGAATATAATTACTACGCTATATTAACAAAGATATCAATTGCATTGCACGCACGTTGATATTCGGCAGGATGTAGTTACGTGGTTATCATCGAAGTTTTTTTTTTGGAGGGGGGGGGGGGAGGTTATCACCGAAGTTGATATCAGGTACTCCCTCCGTTCCTAAATATTTGTCTTTCTAGACATTTCAAATGACTACTACATACGGATGTATGTAGACATATTTTAGAGTGTAGATTCACTCATTTTGCTCCGTATGTAGCCACTTATTGAAATGACTAGAAAGACAAGTATTTAGGAACGGAGGGAGTATGATTTAGTTGCACGCTAAAAACA